AAAAAATTGTTTCTTTATTTTTCGCACTTGTTTTTCTTGAACTACGTAATGATCTGATTCACAAGGCGTCGTGATACGTAGGTAATCCTCATCGGATCCGGTCACAATTTTTGTAAATAACTCAAATAAGAGAGGGATGTGAAAAAGAGAGCCAAAGAAAAATGAAAAAAAAAGGCAAGGAAAGAGAGGAAAGAAAATAGTGGAAAATGGGAATAAGAGGAGAAGTACAAAAGGCAAAAGTGGAAAGAAAAAGAAAATTGGGAAAATAAGCAGAGCCGGGATGAAACATGTAGCCGTTGCGAAACATGTAGAAACACATTTAACTATATAGGTGCATCACACCCCAACGTGCGATTTCCTATGCATTAATTGCTTCAAACTAACTGGTTTGTTGTCTACTATTATAAAAGGTTCTATAGTAAGGTGGTTGGTTTTGTGGTAGTCTGGCTTCACATTCATACTTCACAAGGTCAAAAGGAAGCGTTGAAATGTCTTCGGAAGTTCCTCTGCCAATAGTTCCTATTCCAGAGGATAGTCCGATCTCGGCCATCCCAACTTCTGAGTCAGCAACGGCTGAGGAAAATAGAATTCTGCGTCTCCGCATGATGGAAATGTGGGACGCCTGGGCCAATGGAAAAGAACCACCAAGTGCGATCCCTGGATTCCCTGAGCTTTTTCCCAGGGCAAGTGGGACCTTCAACATCCCCATAAGCTATCCAAATACCCCACTGGGATATCCTACCATTTCAGCCCACTTTACTGGAACACCTTCTGAGTCTCGCCCCCAGGTGTTAGCTTCAAGTGCGGCTTCAAACATATTCACTACGCCACCTTGTTCAGCTACGGCACAACCTGTTTTACCCAGGCCTCACTTTGATTCATCTTCCTTCACATTTCAAGCACCATCTTACCCAGGGGAACCTCCTCAGTTTCCTACTTATACTTACCCTCAGCCACCCCAATTTGAGTTCACTGCGGGGCAAGAAAAGACCACCAAAACTCCTGAGCAAGAAGAGATTGTGAGGAAGATGAGGAGTATGAAATAGAGTCTCAAAAGCATACAAGGCTTGAGTGGACAGAAAAGTGTATCCTATGACGACTTATGCATGTTCCCTCATGTGCACCTATCATTGGGATTCAAAACCCCAAAATTTGAGAAGTACGATGGGCATGGTGATCCTATTGCTCATCTCAAGAGATATTGCAATCAGCTGCGAGGAGCCGGTGGAAAGGAAGAACTACTCATGGCCTATTTCGGAGAAAGTCTGGTTGGCATCGCATCTGAGTGGTACATGGACCAGGATATATCCCGCTGGTACATCTGTTATGATATTGCTAGAGATTTCATCAGGCAGTTCCAGTACAACATTGATATTGCTCCAGATAGGAACTCATTGACAAACTTGAAAAAGAAATCCTCAGAAAGCTTCTGAGAGTACGCAGTTAAATGGCATGAGCAGGCATCCAGGGTAAAGCCTCTGATGGATGAGGTTGAAATGGTCACAGTTTTCCTCCAAGCTCAGGAAGCTGACTACTTCCAAAATATGATGTCCGCAATGGGTAAATCGTTCGCTGAAGCTATCAAGATTGGCGAAATGGTTGAAAATGGGCTGAAAATGGGTCGAATTATAAGCCAATCCGCTATCAGAGCTACCTCCCAAGCCATTCATGGTGGGTCTGGAGGAATAGCAAAGGGAAAGAAAAGGGAAGAAACATCCATGGCAGTATCAGGTGCAAGGAGAAACTGTACTCCCAGATCCCTTTTCTCAGAAAGGACTCCGCAACACTATTACCCTCACCAAGACTTGGCCTATACTCCTCAGCCATACTCGGTCATGAATGCTCAGCCTTATGTCCGGCCACAACAACAAGACAACAGAAATCAAGCTCCATTTCCTAGAAACCAACCTCCTTACCAAACCCACTACAACCCCCGTCCTCTACAAAATCATTTCCACCCTCATGAACCGCCCAAGAGGCCAAATTTCACACCAATTGGCAAAACCTACTCCAGACTGTTACCAAAGCTTGTTCAAATGGGTCTGCTACAGCCTGTTCCTCAAACCAGGCAAAACCCAGCATCACCCGCTTATAGAGCCGGTACCCGATGCGCCTATCACTCAGGGGCAGAAGGGCATGACATAGATGATTGCTGAACTCTGAAGAGAGCCGTGGAGAACTTGATAGAACAAAGGAAGATAGTGATGAGGGATGAAGATGTTCCTAATGTGACCAATAACCCACTGCCAGCCCACAACAATGGACCGGTAATTGGAATGATTTATGAGGATAAGGAATTTGACCCAGCATTGAAGGCCATCATTTCCATTGTTGACGAAGAAAAGAAACCAAAAGCTGCCCCGAAGTAAGATAAAGGGGAGAAAAAGAAAGAAACCACCCCTCCAAAGTCAGAGAAGAAAATTGAAGTTGAGACCGGGGCAACGCCTCCCAAAGATGTTGTTCTCTACGTCCCTCAAGGCCGTAAAGAAAAGCAGATGACATTGAGTCCTCCCAGGAGATTCGAGCTGAACAAAACAACCCAGATGTATGTGCCCAATGGGGCTTATGTGATGCGAGGGCCAATTAAGCCATCGAGGTTGAATGAGCCCGTGGTTATTGGACGCGCGCCACAGAAGCCCATGAAAGATCCTACTGTTGTGCCCTGGAACTACAACAAAACGGTGGTGACCTATAAGGGCAAAGAAATCCCAGGAGAAGTTCAAGAAAATAACCCTGTTGAAANAACCTTCCAGGTTCTAGACATGGACACATCCTACAACTTTCTTTTGGGGAGGCCATGGATTCATGCAGCGGGGGCTGTACCCTCTACTCTTCATCAGATGGTGAAGTTCGAGCATGAGGATCAAGAGATCGTGGTCCACGGAGAAGATGAGCAATCAATTTATCGGGACCCATCAGTCCCATGTCTTGAAGCAAGAGAGGGGAGTGAGCACATAGTTTATCAGGCTTTTGAAATTGTGGTTGCAGACCAGTACAAAGAAGGAAACCCTTGCCCCCAACCCTTCCTTTCTAATGCATCAATCATGGTGGCCAAAGAAATGATCCGACATGGCTTCAAACTGGGGAAGGGACTTGGGAAATCATTGCAAGGGATAGTTGAACTTATCACCCTGCCCACCAGTGAAAGGTTCTTCGGGGTAGGCTTCCGACCCACTCCAACTGATATAAGATGGGTAGATGATAGAAAGAATGATGGTTGGGTCTTGCCTCAGCCGGTTCCGTATCTGTACAGAACATTTGTCAAGCCAAAATACCAGAAGAAAGAAGAAGATGAGGCCTTTACTGCCGAAGAGATTGAAGAGATCTGTGGGGCGATGAGGAAGATACTATATGAAACCCACATGGTCCAGCCAGGGGAGGGCTCAAGCACCGCTGAGGTGCTGTATATGGGACCCAATGGCAAGCTACAGAATTGGAAGGCTACGCCATTCCCAATCAGGTGGGAGTCCCGGTAGACCTGTCCTGCCACTTTTTCTGCATCGCGAGTTATGTCAGGGTGTAACTCGGATGTTTTTCTTTAGTTTCTTGTCTTTTAATTTCCAATGTAAACCCTGTTATCTTCAAATTCAAAGAAATGAAATCATATTTCATCGTCCATCCTTCTTTATTCTTTCTGATTTTGTAATTTTTTCTCTTTTTTCTTTCAGCTTTAATAATGTGGCTTTAAATAACGTGACATGCTTGCGGACTTCATGCCCAGATCCAAACACGCTGTCTAACTGCGAAATAATGAACCAAGAACCGAAATATGATGAAGAAGAGGCTTTTAAGGAAATAAATCGAGAATTGGAACAATTTGAGAATAAACCTAAGCCAAACTTAAATGAAACCAAGCCGGTTAATTTGGGTAGCTCTGAAGAAGTCAAAGAAACCAAGATAAGCATTCATACGGATGAAAGAACCAGGGACACATTGATCCAACTTTTGTTTGAATTCAAAGATGTGTTTGCTTGGTCATACGATGACATGCCAGGATTAAGTGTCGATTTAGTGGTCCATAAGTTGTCAACCTACCCCTATTATTCCCCTATCCAGCAAAAACAGAGGAAGTTCAAAATTGATATCAGTGACAAGATTAAAGAAGAGGTCACAAAATAGTTAAAGGCGGGAGTGATCCGAGTGGTCCGATACACCATATGGCTGGCTAATAAAGTTCCTATGCCAAAGAAAGATGGGAAAATCCGGGTGTGCGTTGACTAACGAGATCTGAACAAAGCAAGCCCCAAGGACAATTTCCCTTTGCCAAACATCCACATCCTTGTTGATAAATGCGCCAAACATGAAATACAGTCTTTTGTGGATTGTTACGCAGGATACCACCAGGTGTTGATGGATGAAAAAGATGCAAAAAGACAGCTTTTACCACACCTTGGGGCACTTACTGTTATAGAGTCATGCCATTTGGTCTGAAAAATGCCGGGGCAACTTACATGAGGGCCATGACTGCCATTTTTCATGATATGATGCACCAAGAGATAGAGGTGTATGTGGACGATGTAATCATCAAATCCAAAACCCAGGACGACCACGTTCGGGACTTGAGAAAATTCTTTGAGCAGCTGCGCAAATATGATTTGAAGCTGAACCCAGCCAAATGTGCATTTGGGGTACCATCCGGCAAACTCTTGGGATTCATAGTCAGTCGGAGGGGCATCGAGTTAGATCCAACAAAGATAAAGTCTATTCGGGATTTTCCTCCTCCAAGAACCAAGAAAGATGTTATGAGTTTGTTGGGAAGATTGAATTACATCAGTCGTTTCATTGCTCAGTTGACCTCCACGTGTGAACCCATATTTAAGTTGTTAAAGAAAGATGCGGCAATCAAATGGACAGTTGAATGTCAAGAAGCTTTTGATAAAATCAAGGAATATCTGTCGAATCCGCCAGTCTTGGTCCCACCTGAGCCAGGGAGGCCTCTATTCTTGTACCTGACCGTCTTAGAAAATTCTTTTGGCTGTGTCCTCGGGCAACATGACGTGATCGGAAAGAAGGAGCAGGCCATTTACTATCTGAGCAAGAAGTTTACTAGTTATGAAGCGAAGTACACTTTATTGGAAAGAACTTGCTGTGCTTTGACATGGGTCGCTCAGAAGCTGAGGCAT